TCGATTCCTCCATTTAGGATTCGATAGAATTCGCAACTTCGGATCTCTTAATTGTATCGCAATTGTTCGACTTTGCATTAGTTTCATAAAGACTTGATAAGATGTGATCCCTTTCGAATATTTTTATTGCACTGAAGTAAATTTCTAAAAGAGATAGGTCAGCTTTTGCATTTGGTATCAGTGAAAATTGAATATAGAATGGTGATATTTTGATTCTTCTGATTGGGACGCATATTATAGAACGTGGGGTAGTTCTTTGCAGTCCAATACATTTTGAATTTGCTTCTTCGTGATTTGAATAAATATTTAATGGTTAATAACGTATTTATTTAAGAATAACGTTGATGGGAGTAAAACGGCGAACCAATGGGCTAAATGGATAAGTTTAAAAATGTACGAAGTTATTTTTGCAGCGGCCTCTGTAACAGCACGATTTCGATAAGTACCGAAGTTCAGGCCCCGTTCGAAAGAGGAAGCTCGCGAAATTCGAAACTCTCGAGGTATCCTCCCCTTAAAGTCCAAAAGTTTTCCGGATCCTCGGACTTGCCTAGGCAAACTTTTTCTCTTTGCGCCGAGATTTGAAATAAATCGTGAAAATAGACTTAGAATAAAGGCAAAACGCCGCGTCGGCGTCGCTTAGTGGGGAAAAATACCCATAGAGGAAGAACTTCGAATTCTAGGTAATGTTTTAAAGTTGTTATCTTTGATCTAGGGACGACGTTTGCAATTACAATGCAATGCTGAACAACATATGTCTTAGAAATGCAAAAATTACTATCTAATCTACAACTTAATGCAATAAACTGATCTATAACAAGTAGCAGTATTTACACGAAGTAGTATATTGCATTTAAAAAAAAAAAAAAAAAAAAAAAAAAAAAAAAAAAAAAATACAAATTGTGAGTATTTATTGAAAATTCTTTCTCAAAATGACCGAAGCGAACTTAATTAATATTGACGCAGCAGAGAAATATCATAACGCTATCTTTCCCTTACACGTTGAGTCGATGAGCAACGTCGATTCTGGTATCTTTCGGTATGAATATTCGATGAATCCTTATAAATTTGATGCCAAATTACTCAGCATTAATTCAATACATGTTATGTATTTGTTTTTTACATTAATTTGTAAATGGTAATAATAATCGCTTCTCAAAGGCACAGGCTGTGTCCAATCGTAACCGTGTAGCAAATTTCGTCCCTGGATCACATAGAAATTATTCCGAGAAATACGTGATTGAAGTTTCTAAAGCACGTACATGGATCCTTAAGGCGAAGAAAAAGTTCAAACTGACTTTTTGATGCTTGAAAATTGGAACTTGGGAGCCAATGTTTCACAAAATATTCATTAAGACTAGTTTCACTCTAAATCATTTTTTTTTTTTTTTTTTTTTTTTTTTTTTAAGAAATTTTATTTAAATATATCGTAACTACTACAAGTATTTCCTTGTATCTATCTACATAGTTTAAAACTAAAACTTAACAAACTGCATTAATTTTATATGTTAACGTTAGATAATACTATGATTATCTAAAAGAACAGGAATTGTAAATTCTCTGCCTTCTTTCTTAAATGTATTATAACATAAAGGTTTTTAGTTTAATGCTCTAAATCATCAATATCTCAATTTTCTCAAAAACTGCACATATGCGCCTTGTCCTTCGAGCCCCTCAAATGTTGATTGAACGGCGTGTCGGTAAGACCCACCGAACTCACCCACCGTGCGCCTCACGAAAAAGAGTGCTCGCAAAGTCCTACAGGGCTCATGAAGTATTCATTTTTTTCACCGAGAACTTTCACGTAGCTTATCTTCGACCGTGCATCCTGGTGTAGAAGGCACTTTGAACAAAGTTTTTTACTCTCTTCGTTTTTTGCTCTCTAATTTTCCCCTCTTTGACTGTGGCGTGGCGTGCTTTGCGATACATCGATTGAACTGCCATTGAAACCCATGGAAAAGGATCGATTATTGAGGTGTTTGCAACAAACACCTCAACAATCGATTCTTCACCATAGCTTCAAATGGAAAAATATGGATAATCGATCACTCACGCCACGCCACGGCTCTCTGATTAAACTTTTCTGTTATTCCCCCGTCAGGATCGCTTCAACGACCTCCTCTGATAATTTTTGTCCGACTTCGGCAAGTTTATTCAAGGCCTGGGCACCGAATTTCCCAACAATTTCCTCGTTTTCCGTTCCGAACTAGATTAAAAATTGGGGAATATTTCGCCCAACATCACAATCCTAATAATGTTTGAGGAATTGTAGCGCGAGACTGCACAAAATAAAACACCCTGATCTTGCAGTGATTGCACTAGGACGTATCTACGCTGAAAGAAAGTATGCAAGAATGTGTTGATGCCAAAGGAATCATATTTTTGTAATTTGTCCACGGAGAAAAATTTTCCATTGGATCAGCAGGAGGTCATATTGCTAATTCCGGAAGAAAAATTCTCGTTAAAATGTCATTATTCCTGCTATTTTAAAGAGACAAGACGATACATCAAAGAGATTACCCGTTGACTCAACGAAAATTTTCGTCCTTGAATTACTATCTGGGAAATTTTTCTCAGTGCGCGTGCTTCATAGTTCTATTTGGTTTAATTAATTTCTGCACAGTTCCTCTCAGCATAAATGCGTTTTCTTTTATTCCTTCTTTGTCTTCCCCCGCAATGATTTTTTCCTCTTTTTTATCTCTTTTTGTCATTCAAGTTAATACCCGCAACTTACATGTCATGATTAATCAAAATTGCGCTGCACTGTGCAAATACTCATCTTTACAAATCTATGTCGATGTTTGCAGGTTGGCAAAACACCGTTCCGAAAAAATCAGGGCAAAATAATTCCGGGGAATACACATCTTGCGCAGTTCAACCTGCAAGAACATGCACATTAAGTAGCAAGTTTATTGGTGCTATGGATTTGTAGTCAGCATTTTTTTTAGAACGATTCTTAAAAGTGGCAACACTGGATTCTGTTCATTTAAATTTACGTATAACAATCGATATCTAGAGACACATATAGAATCGATTATTTTCAACGTATTCGAATAGACAAACGACGGTGTTGTCAATTTGGAAGAATCACCCTCTGCCAAACTCTCCGCATCTCTTTACTCTGTTTTATGTCAGTTCCTTAGTTTCCTTAGCCGGAAAATAAAACACCCTTAGTTTTTTTATAACCCTGCACCTGTCATCTGTTATCCGGGCGCAGTTTTCGTTTTACGAGTTAAGCTACAGTTTTGCCAGCCGGTCTATCCGCTAAAAGATTGTTCCAGAATTGATAGCCTTTTCTAATAAATGGGAAATTTAACTATCTCAGGGTTCAATTTTGCAAGATTATATTAGTTTTACCGTAAAACATGCGGGGTAATAGGGCCTTAAGTCTTAAATTTTTAATTGCAGTACATTTAACTTAAAGTGCATTTTTTAATCCGGAAGTAAATTAAGATAGCCAAGTTTGAGGTTGCAGAGGCCGATTTTTTTATTCAAGCGACAACCGGAGGAGTTGAAAAGAAAGTCATTCATTTTATCCGACGAATTTCACATTATTTTCACTTTACAGTTTACATTTCTGTATTTCATTTTTCATTCAGTAAAAGCTGAATAAAACTGAGTATGTAAGCATGAAATTACAATAACAATACACAAGTTTAAGGGTATGAATCGAATCCTCAGTGTTTCACATTGATCGAACTATGTATTCGGTTTGTCGAAGCCAAAGTTCGGTTCGTAAAATCAAACTCTATAGATGTACCGATTTTTTTTTTAGATGAACCAAATAATTCGATTTACACGGAGCACCTAACGTTTGGCTTCAACAATTGAACTTTTTTTTGTAGTAGACCTTTTCCCAAAATCAATTTTTTCCAAACAGTTTGATCTAACTTCTAGTTAGAATCTTTTAACAATATACCGCAATGGAACATGACTGATTTCTCAACAAGTCTAACTGACTCTAAATAAGGATTTGTTTGACAGATTTGAATTTAAGTCCATCAATTGAAGATTTTTTCGGTATTCTCCAACAGAAAACTCTTCAATTATACATTCTGTTGACCGAGAATTTAAAATGTCATTCGGAGAACTCTTCACAGTCATGCGGGGGGAATAAAAATTAGAGTTCATAAAAATGCTAATCAATGGTGAAGAAAAAGTTCGGAATTTTTAAGCGTTTACATGCTTATAAAGTCGAAACACGATCTTCTCGTGCAGATATACGCGGCAAACTCGATGCCGTAAATCGGCAACTGTCTACTTGCATTGTGTGCGGTATGGCAACTTTTGACGCCATCGCGGCCTAATTCTCAAAGTCGTAAAAATTTAAACAATCGTAAATTCAGGTCTTGACAGTCGAATTACAACGCCGTCCTTCGTCTTTGCCTAGTGTTTAAAGTTTTAACTTATTTGAACCCGTAGCTATACAATTCCACTCCCCTCTGTCGGAAGGTTTTGTCCTGAAACCGACAGAAATAGTTCACATACTGTATACGTTTCGTGATACTAGCGCATAACAAACCAAAAAAGAAAAAAAAGCCGAAAATGCAATTGCAAAGTTCTTTTCTGCTGCCTCTTTTCATACGTAAATATTTTATTAATATCTTATAAGCCTATATCAAAGAGTAGAGCTTTCAAGATACATAGTGAATAAGAACGGATAGAAAATTGGACTACATTTTGCAATTTGGAACTATAAATTCTAGCCCGGTTTAAAAACAACGTATGTGCCATTAGTTTCCCTATGCGCTTAAGTGTTTTTCCAGAAGAGCCAGTATTTATAGTTCCGAATTGCAAAATGCAGCCTCTCACCATGGACTTGCAGCACGTACTCGAAGTACTCGCACCCAATAATTGTGATATATTTTTACGGTCATTATCCGATTAACTGTTCTAAAATTACTAACTGCTAAGTTAATGCGAAACTCTCATCCTGATAACCCTCTTAATTTATTCCAAAACACCTCGTCAGGAGCAAAAAACCTAAAATTTTGTTCGAACAGGTTCTCAAAGATGGCGACGGTGCAAACGTGGAGGCTGAAAAGGCTGAACAGGCAGAAACAGTTTCGGAAAGCCTTAAAAGTTTTATGACATAAAACAGACTCTCACAAAATGGACATAGTCTGATCAGAGGACACCGCGATCCTAGACCAAGAACTCAGCGTAGTAGCTTCAAGTCATGGCGGAGGAAGAGGAGGAGCTGCAAGTCGTGGCCGCCACGGAGGGGGACCCGCTCCCGACGCCGACAGTTGTGACGTCACAATCCACCGTGACGTCACAGCAGACGTCGCGAGTAGTCTGCACGGTGACGTCTTCCAAGTCGACGGAGCGGCAGGAGAAGGTGTTCAAATCCTCCTCGGCGGACGACGCCCACTCCACGATCTACGAGGAGAACCACGAGTTCTCGGCGAACGAGTCCCGCATCACGAAGGCCTCCAAGATCAAATCCATCTCCACGTCGGCGGTCTACGGAGGCGGCATGCGGAACCTCGTGGCGTTCGGCGCGAAGAAGAGCTCCGACTCGCAGGACACCGAGTCGAGCATCGACATCGTGGAGGTCAACCCCGACGACCCCGAAAGGCCCATCGGCGAACCGAAGAGGTACCGCACGTCAACCACCCTCGAGCTCTCGCCGCGCCCGTCGTGGAGAGACAGGAGCTCGTCGAGCCGGGAGGAACACTCGAGAAGCACCATCGACGAGCAGGACTCGTCTTTCGAGCTCGACGACAAGGTCCACTCCAAGTCGAGCAGTGGATCTCCACGACCGGTCGAGCAGGAGATCTTCTTCAAGCATGACTCAGGGGCGAAGCTCTTCGCGACGATCAATGTGGCCGAGGGTAGGATCGACAAAGACAGACTCTCGGCGCGAAGTGCAGTAAGCGAGACCTCCACGAGCTCGGAGTTGTCGTACCAGGAGGAGAAAGTGGGCGTCGTGAAGCAGCGTTCAGCGGAGTCGATCGGCGGTGAGCGACGACTGGGAGGGGCCCTCCCCCGCGGGTACTCGTACCAGGAGGGTCACCGCATCTCGGTCGTCGGGCAGGAGTCGCGGAAGCAGTGGCTCACGGCGGACACGGGTTCGGCCAACGTCAACTCCCGGTCCATGGAGAGCCTCCGGAACCACGAGCAGCGCACGTTCTACGCCTCGTCGGAGCGGGAGCTCCGGCGGGTGGTGAGCAGCTCGGTGGAGGCGCGCTCGCTCGAGTCCCTGGAGAAGGAGATCCGGATCATGGGGAACCGGTTCCGGCGGACCATCTCCGGGGAGGAGTCCGTCGACGAGTCGCACGCCGAGCGGAGGCGGGGGCTCTTCGCGACGAGCTCCCGCCGCGTGCCCTCGCACCTCTCGCTCATGCCGCCCGGGGACCATCGGCGGCTGACGATCCTGTCGCCGCACTCGCCGCTCATCCACCAGCTCCCCGGCCCGGGCGCCGCAGCCGAGTGCTGGCAGTTCACGACGCAGACCATCAAGACGAGCAGGCGCAAGGCCGGCATCGTCCTGCCCAGGCTCGTCCTTCCCGGATCCTGCGAGTTCGACGTCTCCACAGAGTGAGTTCCCGTTATATCTCATGTATCTTACCCCCGATTTCCCTATATTTCACAGATGAGGCGGTGAGCAGTGGTGTAGAAAGGGGAAGGGGGTGTCCAAGGGGTCTGTAACCCCCCCCCCCTAGCGTTGTTAATTGTACATTTTTTTTTTACTTTGGGGGGGGAGGGGGGGTAGACATAAAATGTGATCAGGAACGCGCACAAAATAATGTAAAATCGTCACGTTTTGGAATGGGCTCCCCTCCCTTACAGAATTCCTAGCTACGCCACTGGTGGTGAGTGAGAATGTTGCTATCGCAGCTTTGTCCAAAGGAAATCACATAGAACAATGGGAAGGTCAAGGCCAGTCATGCTTCCTGTTAATTGGTCCCAAGTTTTTCAATTTGAATGTTTATGCCATTGGAACAACCCGATTTTAGACTGAACTATAACATCCGAGGCCAAATCAATTCTCAGGAAAATCACCTCAAAGCATCTTACCCAGGGTGAATATTTTAAATTAGTAGAAGATGCAGGAACTGTAGAAAAATTGTAACGATCGGCACTTCTGCAATCACGCAGATTAAGAAAATTCAATGTTTAGAAAGTCGGAAGAGTCAGGAAAACTTACACGCAGGAAGGTGTGTGTTTTTCAAGTTCCTTGAAATTTTTGGCCGAGGATATTCTAGTTTGGTTCAAAATTAGATTTGGCTGCTAAGACATTCATAATAAATGAAGGCAACCTATAATAATGCTACCAACTTGATGCGCATTGCCCCTATACTTGTATTTGTCGCTCTTGGCTGCATCGCAAAAATTCTCATTTAAAATTCATATGAAACAAGAAAACTTCTTTTAAGCTTTGTCCACGCTGTAAATATCGCGCTTTTCTCCAGAAATTCATTTAAGATGAATCAAGAACTCGGGGCAAACAAGTAGCAAGCTATTAGATCTTAGCCCTCAAAGTTCCGATGGTTTGAATCGGTCTGAGCATTACGTCATACATGCGTTCGAGGACCCGAAAGAGTGCTCCTCCATTTGAAAGTATAAAAGCTCGTCCCTCAAAGGAATAGTAATAGATCGGAGGATGGACGATGGCTGGGTCCGCATTGTGCCGTGCTTGAGCGGGCATTATGGCTACGATCTTCATCACGTAGGGATGCATGGTTTTATGCCATCGCATATCGCCATTTCTCTGACGTAAAGACGTACCTCGATTCCCGTAAGAGCCCCAGGAAGCTCAGATTCATATTTAAAGCAAGGCTCACGCGGGAATTGAGATACGTTCTTACGTCAGAGGGGCGACGATATTGCATCGTCCCTGGCCGTGGTTTCTCTATTCAGAGGCAAAGCGTCGCTGTGCTACGGAAGAGAACAGTAAGTATGAGCTTCGAAACGAATAGGATCCCGTGATAACCGGGACCCACGCCAAAACGCACTTACTGAGTTGTCTTCCGCAGTATCTTCGCATTCGCGTCCCGTCGTCCCTCTGGTAAGTAGGCGTAACTCCATTCTCCCGCGGGCTCTTGAATGCATTGCGTTGAACGGACGATATGGCTTTTCTGGGGGTGCAGTTAAGCTGTTTTGCAGAGAGAGTCGTGTTTTGACTTGCGGAGTAATGATCCTCCGACGGTGAGCTCCGTTTACTCGTAGTATGTTCGTCGAATGCTGCAGCGAGCGCTTTGATCTTTTCGCCTCGTTCTCCTACTGGAATCATCTTCAGTGGCGTGGCGTGCTTTGCGATACATCGATTGATCGCTCATTTAAACCTATGAAAAAGTATCGATAAACAGGGTGTTCGCAGCGAACACCTTGAGAATCGATTATTTACCACAACTTCAAATGGGGAAATATCGATAGATCGCAAAGCTCGCCACGCCACTGATCATCGTAGCTCAAACACCGGCAGACAGGCGCCAGAGCATGCATTGAAAGTTCTGAGCGCTATTCTTTCAGCGTCCTTAGTGGTTCAATTACGCTTCTTTCCGCTTTTGTATTTGAAATATCGCCAGGAATAATAATACTTCCTACAGATGTTTGATGAAAACGGGGAAAACAAAAACATCTCAAGTACGACATTTTTAACGTCATTTTTCAATCATTACATGAACACCTCGATGACTGAGGAACAATACCGCCTAACTGACAATTGGACGTATTTCTATCAAACGGAACTATGTGCATCATGACGTGAGCCCTGTTATACACATATTTATATGGGCCTTAGGGCTCATGCTTTAATGTACATAGTTCTGTTTGATAGAAATACGCCCAATTATGGCGAAACTGAGCCAGCAACTTTGCCATTTTCTACAGTATCTAATACGCAGGCTGATGTTTTTAGTTTTTTGTTCCAATTCCATGTGGAATCGCTGTAATGATACTTTGTGCTGTAAATGCTGTAATGCATAAACAAAATTGCAATCCTACCCTCAAAAGTACAAAAATGGCAAAGTTTTATATTGTCCTGTAAAATTGTCAGTTTGCAGGTACGCGGTATTGTTCTATTATTGCCATCGATATTTTATACCCAGGTTGGCAATACAGCAGTACAACAATTTGTCTCGTTTTGTGGCAATACTACGTATATTGGTGGTAAAATTGGAAGGGATGATTATCGTTCGTGAGTTTGCAGTTAGTAAAACCTCCAGTGCCACATTTCGTATCAAATAGATAAGTCACCCAAGATACCGATACACGTAGAGAGCACAAAAAGTCAGAACTGCCTACTCATCAGCTAATGGACTCGAACCTTCAGATGTTGGCGAAACAGTGCAGACCTCTTAAAGAAAATTCGCAGACATTCAAACTCTGCGGGATCTTCGCGAGTCCAGGAATCTTTGCCTGGAGTATCGGAGTATTTGCGAACAGGGACTCGGCTGTTCTGTTCTGTTAATGGGATTAAATCCCGCAGTTTGGGAGAGCAAGGAATCGATTCTGATCTGTATCTTATGTCATCCTCGAGAACAGAGATGATACGTTACGTTGGAAACTTAAATTTTATTTCACCATCTTGATTTTTTCTTGCGTGGCTTGCAAAAAATGATTCCAAGTGAGAAGGCCGCTACTGGGGAATCTAGTCATGATTAAAGAACTCAAAGTAATCAAGAGAACATCTAATTAAAATCTAAATAACGTCAAAAACGAATAATTTTTATTGTAAGCTAGCCTTTATTAATTTTTTCAACAGTAAAAAGTAGGTGAAAAATTGTGCTTTAACGGTGAATTCCTACGGTATGTGGGGTAGGAGTGTCAATCAGTGGTATGCAGTTTTTAAGGAGAGGAGAGTGTAGACCTATGTCGAGGGGAGAGGCGGGTTAAAAATCCAGTTTTTTCATAGTTATTCCGTGTACAGCTCCCCAGTTCAGTCGTCGGGAATTTGAAAATAAGGGTCAGTCTAGTTATATTAAAAAAGACACTGGATCTCATCCGAAAAGAAAGTGTCGTTTGCGGTTCGACTCGACGCCTAGAAGCCAATTTTCTAGTTCATACCGAGGTGGGAATAAGCTGAAGCTGCCAAATTCCCTTTCTTATAGAAAACGAAGCCTTATTTATGAAAAAATCATTGCAGCGATGCAAGACATCGGTTCAAAATACCTTGGTCCCTTGCCAGTAAGACTAATCGCGTTTCGAACGTCCCGGAATAATTTTAGAATTCCATCTGTTTTGCGATGCCTACACCCCCCCCTCCCCCTAGATGTTGCCGTATTGCAATAAGTTATCAGGGAGGAATGTGCGAATTGACCGAGGAAATTGTGACGTTTTGTGACTCTGTCAGGGACGACCAGTTTAGATACCGCGGTTTTTCATTATGTCACGTCACGCCGTTTCCTTGTGAATGCTAAAATTGCTCCGGATCACGCTTCCTCTTTGACACGCAAGCTTTTCTAATTTTCCGCGCAAAGCTGCAATCTGAAATGAATCGGTTCGAAGTAGCTCGGAACCCTCTCTGAAAAGACATTCTCTAAATCCCTGCTTTTGATTCTTCTTATTCTCCTCTTTCTCATCCTCCTCTCCTTTTACCTAATTTCCTTCCTTGTCTTCTTATTTCTACTCTGTTTCCCTCAGTATTTCGTCGTCTTCTTATTCCTCTTTCACGTTGTTTTGCGTCCTTTCCGTTTTCTACACGTCATCTTCGTCCTTTTTTTCTTCTCTCGATCTCTCCTCTTTGTTTAACACCACTTTCTCGCCCTCTTCTTCATCCCTCAATTCTTCTACTTTATGCTCGCCCCCTTCCTCGTACTCCTCTCCTTTCTTTAATTTTATTTTTGGTTTTTCCTCTACTTCCTCCTCCTCTTCCCTTGTTTTTTTATTTTTCCTCTTCTTCTTTCTCTCTCTCCCATTCTCTTCTCTACCCATCTCCCTCACGCTCTTTCTCTTCTACTTCCTCTTCTTCTTCTTCTTCTTATTCTTGTTCCTCATTTTCCTCTCTGTCCCCTCTTCTTCTTCGACTTAAATATATTTTTCATACTTCTTCATCTTCTCTTCCTTTGTTTTTTTTAACCCTCCTGTTCTTCGCCCTTTTATTTCCTCTAACTTAAATACTCTTTTTTATTCTTCTTCCTTTTCTTCTTCCTCTTCTCCTCCTTCTTCTTCTTCTCCTTCCTCTTCTCCTCCTGTACATTCATCTTTTTCAAATCGTACAAAATAGAACTAGTTCCAATATCATTGCGACAACATTGCTGAGCGTTTAATCCGCCGAAGCTTAGCACGATCGCTCTAAACCATAGTCACGGCAGGGGGGAGGGGGGGGCTCTGGGGTTGGAAATCGAGGGAAAAATCGAGTATGAAAAATTAACCCGCAGTACGGCGGACGGCGGAACGCGGGATGGGGAACAGCTTGCTCCATCGCAGCCTGCTCTTGCCCCAACGGCACCGATGAAGATTGATTCGTTTTCCTTTCCGCGCGCCCTTACTGGATACCGACGCCGCCACACCGGAAAAAAACTTCGGGTCCTTCCCTTAGAATGTAGAAACGTCGTATGGAACCTCAGACATTGCCTAGTGTCTCCCGGCTGAATCGAAATGCACCAGAAAAGTTTAGAATTCCTCA